AGTATCCTCATTTGAGAAATGAGTATCAAGAATATTCTTGGGGCACGTGGATGGCTCAGTTGGTTAAACGTCTGACTTCAGCTCAGATCATAATCTCGTGGTTCGGGAGTTCAATCCCCACGTCGGACTCTGGGCTGACAGCTCAGAGCCTGGAGCCTGCTTCAGATTCAGTCTCCCTCTCTCTCCCTGCTCCTCCCTCGCACTCGTCTCTCTCTCTCTCTCTCTCAAAATGAAACAAACATTTAAAAAAAATTGGGGTGCCTGGGTGGCTCAGTCGGTTAAGCGGCCGACTTCAGCTCAGGTCATGATCCCGCGATCCTTGAGTTCGAGCCCCGCGTCGGGCTCTGTGCTGACAGCCCAGAGCCTGGAGCCTGTTTCAGATTCTATGTCTCCCTCTCTCTGACCCTCCCCCGTTCATGCTCTGTCTCTGTCTCAAAAATAAACAAATGGTAAAAAAAAAAAAAATTTAATAAAAAAAAACATTCTTTTGCAACTCTCAACTCTCAAGATTTTTTGTAAGGCTCAAATAGGACACAGACATTAAACAACTCTGAAATACAAACAAAAGAAGTTTCCTTCCTTTTCAAGAAGGAAAAAAGCTAACTGTTCCAGAAAGGGAGTAGACTAAGAGATCTAAGAAGAGAAGTTTTATTCTGAAATTCAGATTACGTCTTTACAGTGTCTAATGCTGAGCATCCACTTGTACCATGGCACACATTTTAAAATAAAAATAGCTATACATCTGAGCTGGACAGAAGTTTTAGTTAACCAATAATTCTGGTTTAGAGAATGCAGGATAACACAAATCATGACATAGACATTTCTTCAGAAACCTTTATCTTATAAAATAAACTTTACCCAAAAAAGCCAATCTGGGGGAAAGTGTATCTAGAAGGGCATTTGCAAAGACACTCTGATTCCAACCTGGGCTCCAAGTCCCATTCCTCCTAGCCTAACCTTCCACGGCACATGCTATGCCAAGCACTGACCTAGCATGACATGTGGCCTTCCCCTGCAACAGCTGAGAAAGGAATCTGAGTTCCAACTCACCTCTTCTTTGAACTAGACTGAAATGAACCATAACTTGAAAGACCAAATTAGTACAGTCGTTTTGTCTTTTTGCCTTCAAAACACAAGGACAACCAGGAAAGTCACGTCTATCCAAACCACAAATGTCCTAACATACAATGAGCATGCAGAATACAATCATACATGTATACAAACATGCAGAAGTGCAGTTTCTTACAGCACTGTTAACACGAAAGATTTTGCAACAGAACAAGGAAAGCAGAATAAAACTACTTTGATACCTATCTATTTTCAAGAAGAGGTAAAGGATACTTGCTATACACTGCTAGGAATTTACCCAAGGGATACAGGAGCGCTGATGCATAGGGGCACTTGTATCCCAATGTTTATAGCAGCACTTTCAACAATAGCCAAATTATGGAAAGAGCCTAAATGTCCATCAACTGATGAATGGATAAAGAAGATATGGTTTATATATACAATGGAATACTACCTGGCAATGAGAAAGAATGAAATCTGGCCATTTGTAGCAATGTGGATGGAACTGGAGGGTATTATGCTAAGTGAAATAAGTCAGGCAAAGAAAGACAGATACCATATGTTTTCACTTATATGTGGATCCTGAGAAACTTAAGAGAAGACGTGGGGGAGGGCAAGGGGGAAAAAAGTTACAGAGAGGGAGGGAGGCAAACCACAAGAGACTCTGAAATGCTGAGAACAAACTGATGGTTGATGGGGGGTGGGGGAGAGGGGAAAGTGGGTGATGGGCATTGAGGAGGGCACCTGTTGGGATGAGCACTGGATGTTGTATGGAAACCAATTTGACAATAAATTATATTTAACATAAAAAAAAGAATACTTGCTATACATGAATGTTAACGACTGTCACTAGCACATTAAAGATTAAGTATTACTCTCACATACTCCTCTCACCATCACATTGTGAGAATTACACCTAGGAGACTTAACTTTCAAAAGCTTAATTACTTTTACTCCTCTTTCCAATCCCTAAGTATAAATCAGAATGTGGGGAAAAACAAAACAAACAAACCCAAAACACACCAGTGCTGACTGGCCAATAATGTCAATAGTAACAGAAATATCCTTAAATTCTCAGGAAGAATAGTACATGTGCAGAGAACCTGAAGCATATGATCAGTATCAAGGATAGTAGCTGAATACTCAACTGTGGAAGTTAATACCATAGTTGATAAGTATTTTAAGTATGAATTTCAAGTATTATTTAAATTGGTCTCCATTCATATCTTTCCTCCTTTACCCAAAGCTCATAACAAAGAGCGATCAATTCAAAGATGTGAGAGGTGAAGAGGTTCTGAGGGGCTCACACTGACAGCACAGACACAAAAGCACAGTCAATTCAGGGAACAGAGATTTCTAAAGACAACTATAGCTGGCATCAATAAAATGCTCTAAGTATTACCAAAATATTATCTTTTTTGGCTAAACAAAACCACGATGTTATTAGTTTTTCTAATGCTACTACTGAGTTATATACAAGTATGTTTATTATGATATTCAGCCACTGGATAATTCAAACATTCCTTGTGGTTGGTTTTTCAGTTCATTAAAGAAAAGGCTAATCATCATCCAGATATCTGAGGTTCAAAGCATTTAAGCCAAGCCCAAAAAGAAATATTCAGAAATCTTTTGGGCATCACACTATTTGGAGACCACTCAACTGACTTCAAGAGATTTCTAAATGTAAAAATTTATCCATCATTTTTAATTTCAATTTATTAATTCAATTTATTGCTATGCTTCCAATTGTGCTTCGGCATTTTCAAACCTCTGAAATCCTGAATGTGTGTGTGTGTGTGTGTGTGTGTGTGTGTGTGTGTGTACATACGTGTGTGCACACGTGTCTGTACTTTGAGTCCCAAATCCCCCAACTCTACAAAGCAACCTCACATATGACCTCACATATGCATGGTCAGAACATTCTTTTGTGAACTAACCTGTTCTCTTTCAACTCTCCTCTTTTCTTCCTCTGCCCGTCTCCTCTCTTCTTCTTCTTTACGTCTTCTTTCCAGTTCCTCCAGACGCCTCTTCTCTTCTTGTTCTCTCCTTCGCTGTTCACGTTCTTGCTGCCTTCTAGCTTCACGTTCTCTCCTTTGTTGCTGCGCAAGTAAAGATATGTAATCAGCAGGTATCTTCTAACTACTGCTCTCATGACACTCTGCTGACCATTTACAGGTAGGTGCTAATGAGGGGAAGTTCACAGACCCCATCTCGACTGGCCAGCTATTTCCACACTGCTCCTCCACCCCACATGTACCAGCTTCCTCATAAATATTGGTCAAAGGTGGGGTGCTTCTGTGAATCCTTACACAGTTTGGTTTCGTTTGATATCAATTCCCCATTCTTCACTATACTAGGCAACTAAAGGACAGGGAATTCTTTATCCATGCACATCACTAACAGAATTATCCAGGGCCCTTAAATCAGAAGAAAAAGAAGACAAAGGAATAAAGGAGAACGGAAGTAAAGCAAAGAAAGGAAAGAAATAGTTAAAAAGAGGAAAAAGAAAGGAAAAAGAAATTGACAATAAGAATAAGAAATGCCAGTATTATTCATAGTAATGAATTTAAGAAACTGCCACAGCACACATGCATACTATATGTCCTGCACTGTGCTCAGTGTTTGATATTCTTTATTCCATTTCCTTTATCTAATAAAATTTTCAAAACAAACCTGGAAATAAGTATTTCAATCCTACTTTACAGATGAGCAAATAGGTTCAGAAGAGTCACGTGAGTTGCCCAGTGTCACCCAGCTAGCAAGTCCCAAACTAGAAGGGCCATTCTGCCTCTAATGCCTGTAGTATTAACCATGTGCATCCTACTAGCAGGTAGGTAGACTCACTCTGACAACCGTTCCTAATCCAGGCTGTTCTATATAACCCCTAAGTATAGAGTAGTGGGACACACTGGGCACCTGTCTGGCTGCTTTTCTCATCCAGCCCCAGACATCTGTTAATAAGGCACTTCTACAGTGTAAAGTATAGAATTAACCAATTCTTCCCATAAATATGAAAAATGCTAGCCTCTAGACTAGGGCCATCTAATAAAACACTCCAGGATGATGAAAATGTTCTGTCTCAGTACTATTCAATAGAGTAGCTACTAGCCACATGTTGCTACCGAGTACCTAAAATATGACTAGTACAACTGAGGAACTTCCTTTTCAATTTTACTTCAATGAAGTTAACTTAAGTTTAAATAGCCATATATGGCTAGTGGCTACTGTACTGGACAGCACAGGTATAAAGAATACACAGCCATCGAATTTCTCAAGACACAGGAAGCTGACAGTATTACCACAAACTTCAATGTGGCACTAAGATTATTAAATAAGAAAGTTTGGGATAAAGTTATTGGGGATATTAGACATAAATATTTATAATAGGCATAAAAGTAGGTATTTATTATAGTCTGAGTATTAATTTCTCCCCCCCTACACACAAGCATTCATTCTGAAGGTAGACACTTAAATGATTTCCTAAGAAATATAAAGAAATGTCTTATATGTGGAACCCTTGCACAGAGAGGATTTCTTGGTACCTGGTCTCTCTCAGCTGAGTGTTACATGACCATTACTCTCAATACAGTTCTGAGTTAGCTTCTGGCCCCATCTCCTCTCTCATTCCATATATTGCATGGTTTAGTTATTTTTCTTTAAAAATTTTTTTAAATGTTTATTTATCTTTGAGAGAGACAGAAACAGAATGCGAGTGGGTTAGGGGCAGAGAGAGTGAGACACAGAATCTGAAGGAGGGTCCAAGCTCCGAGCTGTCAACACAGAGCTTGACATGGGGCTCAAACTCACAAGCTGTGAGATCATGACCCAAGCTGAAGTTGGACCTCAACCGACTGAGCCACCCATGTGCCCCTCATGCTTTATTTTTTTCCTAGCACTGTCTGCTCTTAGAATTCAACATACAAAACACACAGTTTCCCATGGGTGTGGGTAGGGTCATAGAAATAAAAGAGTTCCTGTCCTGGTGTTTAGAAACTACAACTTTAATGGCCAAGGCATCTTTATTAAATTGAAACATGTACACTGTCCCCATACAATGTACTTGCTGCCTGTCATTTGCTAGCTTAATGCCCATATAGGCACATGTGCCATGGTGTGGGGCTTGCATTCAGGGCACCTGGCCCTGAGCACTGTGCTGCACCCTTGGGAGGAAAGAGGCCTTTCTTTGTAAAAACTAGCTACTGAGGGGTGCCTGGGTGGCTCAGTTGGTTAGGCGACGGTGATGATCTCACAGTTCGTGAGTTCGAGCCCTGCATTGGGCTCTGTGCTAACAGCTCAGAGCCTGGAGCCTATTTCAGATTCTGTGTCTCCCTCTCTCTCTACCCCTCCTCCTCACACTCTGTATCTCTCTGTCTCTCAATAATAAATGAACATCAAAAAAATTTTTTTTTAAACTAGCTACTGATAAATAAAACCCACAAAACCACCTCACCCTGCCCCAGGACTTCATCAGCAATATAACACAGACACTTGAGGAAAGAAATCTGAGAATCTCATCCAAGCAGTGTTACTGGAGCCTTTCTACTTCAAAGCAAATTAAGTTAAGATCTTTTATCTTACAACTTTTGCTTTTTCCATTCAGGAACAAAAAGAAGAGAGTGGCTTTTACCAGTACGTTACTTATAACAAATATAAGCTCAGAATACAACCATTTCTCTAACACTGGTAATAAAAATCCCCATATTTTGCCAATTGGGAAACAAGTTTCTTTGCTTTAAACAGAAATTCTTTAATTCTTTCAGATATTCCTGACTAGCCATGTCTTCCAAAGGAAAGCATCTTCTGAGCTTCTCTATTGAATATAAAGACATTCAAAATATAACAAAAAGCCTTCTAATAAACCTAAAACATAAAGAATCTCATTTGATCAGTTTTAAAGCTTAAAACAGTTGTGAGTATTTTCCTCTAAGAGGTGAACATGGAAGCTCTGTGGAAGTTTCTGTCCTGAGGAGTAAGAGTGGTTTTGTGTACTCTACTATTTTTACAGAATCAGCACTGCTTAGTTCTGAGAACAACCATGGGCAAGGCTGGCAACAATCAGGACACTTCCATGTTTTATAAAAGAGAAATGACTTGCTAGAATACATTGGGTTTAGCAAACACCTGGCAGGCAAGGTAAGAAGGGCCTCACCTCTGGATGAAAATAAGAACCCACAATCACAACAAAGGAAGACACAAAGCTACCTGACAAGATATGTAAACAATTTCCCTCCAAATCTGTCAGACAAAAGGAAAACAGAAAAACAAAGAAAAGGGAAACAAAATCAAAGGCAAGCAGTATCTACTGCCCTTAAAATTGCCCCTTAGCTTCAGAGAACTTAGGCTCCAAGTATATCGGATTAATATGAACAGGTCAGAAGAGGCAAAGAACCTTATGCAATGAATTTTACAACTTTTAGATAACAAAAGTAGCCAAAACGGGCTACAGGGGTCCTTTGAAAAATTTTAGTACACACCATGGAATCCTAGAAAGACAAGTGAAAGGACTCAAGGGACAGAGGTTGTGGTCCTGATTCTGCTCAGCTTCCCTGTTACAAGCCACTTCCCCTCTATGAGCCTCAGGTTCCTGACTTGTCAGAACAGAGTTATGTGTGGTGGGGGTGCGAAGGAGGCAGTGTGCATCAGAAATCATCATGGTGTGGAGTTTACAATGGTTATTATTTTGAAGAAGTCAATAGTTGGTGTCTACAATGAGAAAAAGTGTTTAAAAGTCTTATAGACAATGAACTCTAAGAGAATCATTCCTCTGCAAAAGATCTGCCCCCAACACCATCCTGTGGAGGGCGTCCTGATGCACTGAAATTAAGAGGAGAGAGGTGAAGAACTAGCATGGTAGGTGTCTACATCAGCAGTCTCTAGAAGTGAACAAGACCATCGAGTGAAGTCTAGGAAAAAAACACTCAACTCTTATTTACTTGTATTTGTAGCTCACCCTGTTTAAGATAGCTATTTCTGCATGTTTTATAATATACATACTCAGTGCAAAGGTATGTTAAGTAGACATATGCGTCAGATATATGCCTTCAGTTTCTCTTACCCTCCATGCCACTGCGCTATGCTAAGCAATGCCACATGACCACAGAGATGCAGACCCACAACAGCCGTAGAGATGATGTGCTTACTGCCATTTCCTTATACACCATGCAAACTACTAAAAATTCCTTAATTTTTACATATGATGTTGAAGGTCCCATTTAGACTTATAGTATCACAGTAACAGAAAGAAAAGCAATAGCCTGCACTTGTTTCTCTCTTATACTAAACAACAACAACAAAAAAAAAAACTTTAATGAAAGCAAAGCCATCCCTATCTCTGCTGACGCCTCAGCTATTATCAGCAAGGACTCCTTCAGGAAAGAGCCAGGAGGGGACACAACTCCAAGGAGAGCCCTGGAGGTTGCCATGCTGAGGTCTGGGAGAAACGACCAACCAGCAGCCTGCTACTAAGCCGCCACACAGCTGGCAGCCAGATGCAGTCTAGCATCCAACTCAAACCAGCCTCCAGATGCAAGCTCCAGAGAAGAAAAGCGGAAGTTGCGGAGGAAAGCAGAGAGGGAGCGAACCAGGGTCAGAGCTGACTTTCCACATGCTAGGCCTCTCACCTGGAGCTGCTGCCTGCCCCAGTGCACCAAGTGCAGGTGTGATCTCAGGCCACCCACTCCCCAGACCCACTTCTCATCTCCCCTCTCCTGAGCTGTTGTCACCTTGACTTCAGGAAATGGCAGGACCTCGGTGCACGTCCTCTGGTCACATGGGCTCTAAAGTGGAAGCACTCATTCTCCTTCAAGGGAGTAAGCCCCCAAGTGGTAAGACATGTACAATCCATTTTCTTGGTTGTTTCCAACTACACTGAGGGCAGGGCTCCTAGCCCATTAGAAAATCTTGACTACTTTCATGTAACTAAATGCTACTACTAAGAGGCAACTTTTAAGTGATTTTACAAGGAGCTTTTTCCACATCATTTACATTTAAAAACATTTTTATTTTTTTTAATTTAAATTTTAACATTAGGTGCAACACTGGTTTCAGAAGTAGAAGTCAGTGATTCATCACTTACATATAACACTCAGTGCTCATCACA